TGGTATTAGGAATTGAACTCAGGACTTTGTGCTTACTAGGCAAGGGCTTGTGCCACTGAGCTATATTGTTGGCCTTTTTTTTTTTAAAGAGTAGGAAGAAGGGCTGGGGAAGTGGCTCAGTGAAATAAGCGCTTCCCTGGCAAGTGCAAGGGCCTGAGTTCAATCCCCGGTTCCGCAAAAAAAAAAAAGAGTAGGAAGAATTTATTAAGAGAAAGAAGGCTGTGAGACAGAAGGGGGCTCAGAATATGAGGTGTCCACCAACCTGCTTCTCAAGGGTGGTTTTTTTTTTTTTAATTTTTTATTTTCAGGGAAGGGTCTACAGGGTGTTTAGGTCTCACTACTAGATTGGATTCATAGTGATCCTCCTGTTTACATCCTCCCAAGAGTTGGTATTACGGGCATACGCCATCACACCCAGTCTTAATTGCCATCTCAGTGTGACCTGGGGGCAGGCCAGCACAGCAGTCCCAGTATTGGACCCCTGGCCCCTGCGCCTGTGCCTGTCTGCTGAGCTATTTGGCCCTTCAAGGGTGTTTATTGAGCAAAGCCATAGAGGTGAGGCAGGTTCAATCAAGGTGGGATGGAATTATAATCAAGATTATAGGCTTAGTTACGTAGGTAATATTGATCCAATTGGAAATCACAAAATGGGTATTAAGTGGGATAAGACTATGGTGAACCCATAAGGTTCCGAGTATAGTAACCAGAATAATATTGATTAAATGGGGATCAAATTGGGAAGCCAGTCTTGCAGCAAGTGCACGTTGAGATATCTGACATTTGGGAGAACTGTTAAACTTCTAGGTTGGTCTTGGTCCTATTCTTTTACACATTGGATCTTTTAATAAAACTTAATAGTATTGCTCCTAAAATAAAAGCAAGAGGGACTTTTAAATGTTGAACTAAGATTCCTTTGCTAGCATAAGTAATATTTATAGCAACTGTGAATGTAGTTTTCTTTCTTGGTGCTAGAGATTGAACCCAGGGCTCTGTGCATTGTAGAGAAGTTCTCTAGCACTAGGCTCTATCTCAGCCCTATGGACTACAGGGACTTTATATGCAATTCAGGCTGACCTTGTGCTCAGTTTGTAGCCCATGCTGGTCTCAAACTTGTAATAATCCTCTTGCCTTAGCCTCCCAAGTGCTGGAATTACAGGCATGGACCACCATGTCCAGTGACTTTTTTTTTTAGTCAGTCTTGCTGTGTAGTTCAGATGAGCTTTGAATTCACTAGCCCAAAGTGACCTTAAACCCAAGCAATCCTCCTGCTCAGTCTCCCAAGCACTCGGCCTACAGGTGTGTACCATGACACTTGGCAGTAGACTTTTAAAAAGACAGTATTCAACCATTCCCAGCAGATTGTCTCTATGTATTCTAAGTTTTTTTGGGAGAGCACTGGGGATTGAATCTAGAACCTTTACACTGAGTTACATCCCTGGCCTCTCTCTCTCTCTCTCTCTCTCTCTCTCTCTCTCTCTCTCTCTCTCTCTCTCTCTCTCTCTCTCTCTCTCTCTCTCTCTCTCTTTCTCTCTCTTTCTTTCTTTCTTTCTTTCTTTTTTTTGTGACAAGGTCTTATTAAGTTACTGATGTGCCCAGATAGGCCTAAAATCCTTTAGCCTCAGACTCCCAGAGTACTGGGAATGCAAGTTTGTCTGTGATGCCTGACAATGTGTTTGAAACTGCATTTTTTTCTCATTTATCTTCCTAGGATGTTTCTTTTAGTTGTCAGTTGCAGTTCAAAAATAATAAATCTCAGCCCCCTTTTGTCAGTACTGGGGATTGAGCCTAGATTCTTTACATCTGTGGTGCTTGCTTTTACTTTATTTTTTACTTTGTAAAAGGGTTTCACTAAATTTCCCTAGGTAGGCTTGCATTTGAAATCTTCCTGCCTCAGCCTCCCAAGGAGTGATAGTTACAGGCATGCACCACTATATCCAGGTGGAAATTTTCTGAAATAATTAATAGGGTTTAAATTGCATATCATTCTGAGTAATATGTCCAGCCCAAGGAATGATTACCCTTTTGTCATACATGTCCAGCCCAAGGAATCCTTTTGTCTAGTGTCTTCACGGAGTATCTGCTACTCACTTAATAGCTGTGTTGACTGTCAGATTGGCCGGCCGGCCTGCCTGCCTGCCTGCCTGCCTGCCTGCCTGCCTGCCTGCCTGCTTTCTTTCTCTCTCTCTCTCTCTCTCTCTCTCTCTCTCTCTCTCTCTCTCTCTCTCTCTGTCTCTCTCTCTGTCTCTCTCTTTCTTTCTTTCTTTCTTTCTTTCTTTCTTTCTTTCTTTCTTTCTGGCAGAACCAGGGATTGAACTCAAGCCCTTGCGCTTGTCAGGGAAGTGCTTATTCCACTGAGCCATCTTCTGTCCCCAGATTTACCATCTTGATACTGCATAACTTTCATTTAACAAAAGTAATCTTTTGTTAATACAATAATCCTTATATTAATAATAATATATAATGGAAGAGATGTTAGCAAAGAGCAGTCAGAAAGAGCTTCTTTTAAATGAAAAGTAAATGTTTCCAACTTAAGGAAAGACAGAAATAACATATATTGAAGTTGCTAAGATTTGTGGCAAGAATGAAAGTGTATATAGGGTTTGGTTCTGGAAACTTGAGGCACAGAAGCAGGGAATGGAGGCGTTCTAGTACCTGGGAGGCAGAGGGAGGAGGCCCAAGTTCCAGCTCAGCCTGGGCAACTTAGGAACTTAGTAAGACCTTTTTCAAAATAAAAAAAATTAAAAACAAGAGCAGAGGGTATAGCTCAGTGTGAGGGCTTTGGGTTCAATACCTAGTACCACACAGACACAAAAAGTAAAATGTAATGTACTATCACAAGCCCTTCCCAGACCTCATTGCAGTCCAAGAAGTTTATTTTGTAATCCTACAGAAAATAATTGGAATAGTAGTGAGTTAATTCCACTCTTCCACTTCAGGGCGATGCATGGTAAGCATAAAGGCCCTTAAGGCGTATTTGTAGGTGTGGGGAGCCAAGGGGTCCTCTAAGTCCAGGACATAGGCCTTGACCCAGGGCCCAACCTGGTTTTATTAATTTGTGAAGAGGAGAGTGGCTCAAGGATGCGTGAGTGAGAGCGGTAGGAAGTGCATATGTGAACTAGGCTAGGTAGGAGGCCCACATTCAGCTTGGCAATATGCAGAGAAGGATCTGCAGAAAGGGCAGTCTGCATGACACAGTTGTGGTAGTATCTGATGTTATGGGGTCAGTGCTTTAGCTTAGATGTCGTCTTTTATGCCTCTGGGAAGTCATAGCTCTTTATGTTCAAGCTCATCCTGGTCAATAGCATGGCTCTCTTCCTGTTCCAGAAAAGTTCACACATTTTCTGGAACTTCCAGGTGGGGAAACGTGACCTGTCACTTTGCTTGAAAGACTACACATCAGCACCTCTGCTAGACAGATTTGCATTGCTTAAAGCCAACTAAAGGATAGGGAAAGGTCTTAGCCTGCTCACATGGAAATAGGCCCAGGCTTCGCCGAGATGGAGATAATCACTCATCTTTCAAGGAGACTCGTCCAGGTGGTCCTCTATAAATACATAGAATTTGGTAATTTAGTGATTTGGGGCATCTCCTGAGGATCACAGAATGTATCCTAGTGGATAAGGAAGGTACAAATACTGTACTTGTTGAGGTCTTAAAGAAATTTCTTTTTTGGTGTGGCCTGTGGTGCTGGCAATTGAACTGTGGTCCCTACGCCTGCCTAAGCTTACCTAAGCAGGTGCTTTAGACTGCTGAGCTATCTTGCCAGCCCCCTGAGCTAACATGGTGAGTTAAATACCAGCCTAGAAGATGTAGCAAGATCCTGTTTTAAAATAAATATGTAGTAAGTAAAAAAACCAAAGCTGTTTGGAAAGCTTAACAGTGTTGCATAAAAATTGATAAGCATTTTTTTGATGTGAAATAATTATTAAGGTATATGGTAGATAAAACAGGTCCTCCAGGCCCATCAGATACAGTGCGACTTGTGCTATTTATTAGGTATAATTAGGATGTCTGGCGAAGAGATTCAGATTAAAGTGGCTTAAGTAAGATCCCAGGTCTATGCTGATGTTGTGACTCTGCTCCATGTGGTCACTGGAGGGCCCAGGTTGTGTCTGGTTGCTTTGTCTTCTCCTACTGTGGCATGTCCTTTGAATATCAAAGTGAGGTCAGGGCCACATGCACACTCCAGAGCACACAGAGGCGGGGGAAAACGAAGAGGTAGGATTCGCAAGCTGCGCCGTAACATCTCCCCTGCTTCTGGGTCAGGCTGATCTTAGAGCACCTTGAGTTGAGCTGTGAGGAAGACTGGGACCTGCAGTCTGTAGCTATGTGGGCTTGGGTCTGGCTAAAATTTTCTTTATTGCTAAAAGTAAAGAACATACACTAGGGATGTTACTTTGTGTATTTGCCACATAAGTGAAAACAAAACAGGAAGATAAAAGAGTTTGCTTTTGGCATGAAATCTGAGTACGTAAATTGCATTGGCCCTGGGCGTAGTGTAATCCTCACTCCTAGAAGGCTGGGGCAGGAGAATCCCAAGTTGAAGGTGTGCCTGAGCTGTGCAGTGGTGCCTTGTCTCAGAAAACTAAATATAAATAAATTGCTATTTTTTATGTAAGTTAAGTAGTTATATTTTAAGAGATTATCAGAGGGCTGAGGATGGAGCTAAGTGGCACAGTGTCTACCTGGTAAGCAAGAGGCCCTGAGTTCAATTTCCATTTCTGGTACCAAAAAAAAAGTAAATAAATAAAATAAAATAAAAAAATAAAAGATTACCACAAAGAAAATTCTTTTCTTTCTTTCTTTTTTTTTCTTTTTGGCAGAACTGGGGATTGAACTCAGGCCCTTGTGCTTGCCAGGGAAGTGCTTATTCTACTGAGCTATCTCCCCGGCCCACCAGAAAGAAAATTCTGAGACATTTATTTTGAATAATTGGGATCATTGAGAGAATGTACCATCATGTGATAAACTGAAAAAAAAAAAAACGCTTCTGCTTTTAGGTCTGACACATCTGTACGAAGACCTCTGGGAAACTCTGCCAGGCAAATCAATGGCGTCTTCTACTACAGTGCCTCTAGGATTTCACTATGAAACAAAGTATGTCGTTCTCAGCTACTTGGGACTCCTCTCTCAGGAGAAGCTGCAGGAGCAACAGCTTCCCTTACCCCAAGGTACTATCTTTAGCTTCCAGTGGTTCCGTCAAGTCATAATGAGGGCTTCATGTATAGAGGTGTTGGTATCGTTGTGATTTATAGCTATGGTTAGAAGATAGGTAATATTTTAAAATCTTTTCAGTTAATTAATTAATTTGGTACAGGGTCTTACTATGCAGCTCAGACTTGTAGTGATCCTCCTGTCTTAGCCTCCCCAGCACTGGGGTTGTAGACGTGTACTACCACACCTGATTTTGGTGGCTGGCTCGGTGCTCAAAGGCTGTGCAGCATGCGGTACTGGGGATCGAACCCAGGTCCATGCATTTGCCAGGCAGAAGCTTAGACTGCCAAGCTGTCTCTCTAGTCCCAAGATAGGTAATATTGATGTTTATTTCCCTTCCTTCCTTCCTTCCTTCCTTCCTTCCTTCCTTCCTTCCTTCCTTCCTTCCTTTTTGTTTTTTTGGCAGAACCAGGGATTGAACTCAGGCCCTTGTGCTTCCAGGGAAGCACTTATTCTACTGAGCCATCTCCCTGGCCTCTGATGTTTATTTTTTTTCTTATCTCTTTTATCTTTACTTTTCCATTCTTTGCTGTCCCCCTTGCCTTCCGCATTTGGACATTTTTTTTCCTGTTTCACAATATCTATTACACAGTTTGGTTCTTATTTACACTTTTAATTTCTTACACCAGAGAAACAGTGAAGTATTCACACATGTGAATTTTGTTTCACTTAAAGTATGGACTCAGAGGGCCAGGGCTCAGTAGAATAAGTGCTTCCTTGGCAAGCACAAGGGCCTGAGTTCAGTCCCCGGTTCCACCAAAAAAAAAAAAAAAAAAAAAAGTATGGACTCAAGATGCATCCATTTTCCTCAAAATGTGTTGAGTGTATCCATCTTTATGGTAGAGTAGTACTCCAGTGTGGTAAGTTTATTTTATCCTAGCCTGTTCTTTCCTGGTCCAGTCTGAGCAGCAGTTACTTTTCATGTTTTTTGAGAGCTTGATATTGAAATGATTGCCATCGATATAGATGATGATATGCTTTGTGCATACAAATAAATAAAAGCCTATCTATCTGTCTTTAGAGATTTTACTCTTTTTTTTTTTTTTTTAATTTATTTATTTATTTATATATTTTTTTGTGTGTGGCCAGCTCAGCCCACCAGGGGGCGGGGCTGGCTGGCATGTGGTGCTGGGGGATTGAACCATGATCCCTGTGCTTTGCTTAGCTTAGCTTGTTCTAAGTAGGTGCTTTAGACCACCGAGCCATCTCACCAGCCCCGAGATTTTACTCTTAATATGACAAGATTACAATTATATAGTTTTGCAAGCCTTTAATCCCAGCACTTGGGGGCTGGGGAGATGGCTCAGTAGAATAAGCGCTTCCCTGGCAAGCGCAAGGGCCTGAGTTCAATTCCTGGTTCTGCAAGGAAAAAAAAATCCCAACACGTGAGAGGCTGAGGCAGGAAGATCACAAGTTTAAGGCCAGCCAGTGCTATATAGTCAGACCCTGTCTTTTTTTTTTTTTTTTTTGGTGCAGAACCGGAGATTGAACTCAGGCCCTTGTGCTTGCCAGGGAAGCGCTTATTCCATTGAGCCATCTTCCTGGCCCCAGACCCCGTTTTGAGAAACAAAGCAATTATATACTTTTTTTTTTTTTTTTTGCAGTACCAGAGATTGAACTCAGGACCTTGTTCTTGCCAGGCAAGCGCTTATTCTACTGAGCTATCTCCCCGGCCCCTCAATTATATACTTTTTGTTTCAGGTACTGGGAATTGAATTCAGTGCCTTGTGCATGTTAAGTAAGTACTCTGCAACTAAGCTACATCCCTAGTCCTCTTTATTTTCATACAGGGTTTCCCTAAATTGCTGAGGTTGGCTTGAATTTATGATCCTCCTGCCTTAGCCTCTTAAGTAGCTGGGGTTATAAACACGTTACATTGTGCCCAGCACATAATCACTTTTATTTATTTATTTTTTTTATTTTTTATTTATGTATTTATTTTTTTATTTTATTTTATTTTATTTTTATTTTTTTTATTTTTCAACAAATAATACACTGCATATATTCTTCTTAGTGGTTAATTGCTGTACAACATAATCACTTTTAAACTTACAAATTAAGGTTCTTTTAATTAGGCATATACAGTGACTAATTACATACAGTATATGTCTGATAGAATCTCAGTAACTTCAGGGGCTTGGGATGCTGCTCAGAGGTAGAGTGCTTGCCTGACTTGGCATGTATAAGTCCCTGGGTTCAATCCTCAGCACTAAAAAAACAAACTAAATAAAACAAAAAGTGTTTGGGACAGTTTTTTGTATTATGAAGTGATATGTATCCATCTTTTTTTTTTTTTTGGTGCTAGGGTTGGTACCCAGTGCCTTGTGCATGCCAGCCTATGGCTGTACCATGTGGTAACCCCCAGACACTCTAAATCAAATGTACAACATAAAATTTTGAATTAGTTTTCTTATTAAATGTTACATCTTCTTAAATATTTATCTACTGGAGTCTGGAGGTTGTTCTCACTTATAAGCTCAGTGAAGAGTGGTATTGAGAATTATTAGAGTGCAGTATGAGTGATGACAGAAAGTACTGTCACATAGCTACTATGAATACTTCACTATAACTCTTGGGTGTGTTGTACTTTGAGAATCTAATTCTTTTTTATTTTGTATGTATAGTAATAGGGATGAAACCCAGGGCCTTGTACATGCTAGGAGGTGCTCTACCATTGAACTACATGCCCGTCACCTGACTCATCGTAATTACCTTAAGGTGTAGATTACTATTTAAGTTATATCGAAAATGACTTAAAAATTTTTTTTGAGGCAGAGTCTTGCTCTGTAGTGTAGGCTCCCCTTTGAACTCACTGTGTAACTTAGGCTGACCTTGAACTCAGCAATCCTGAGTGCTGGGATTACAGGCGTGCGCTACCACACTCGGCCACTGTTTATTTTTTTTTATTTTGAGACATGGTATTTGTAAATTATCTTGACTGGACTCAAATTTGGAATTTTCCTGACTCAGCCTTCCAGAGCGCTGGGATTACAGCTATCTACCACCACATCTGGCTGGATTGGAGGATTTTTTCCATGTTGGAGTCCAAACCCAGTGTCTTGCACATGTTAGGCAAGTGCTTGCTACTGAGCTATATGCCTAGCTCCAGACTGTATTTCTTAACACTGCCTGTCTCACCAGGATCTGGTCTCATTACGTTGTGTGTCTCATTCCCACTACTGACTTGTTCTTTAAATAAACCAGTTTCACACTTTTTTTTTTCTTCTCTAGCTTTGGTGCTCTAGAAGGGTAGACTCTTAAGATAGTAATGATTAATACTTACCATGTCTAATTTTTTTCTTGGTCTATAGGAAATTGCATTCAGCTAGAGCCATGCTGTTAATCCTAACTATGAAATATGACTAGAAGCTGGGCATGGTGCCCCATACCTGTAAGCTCAGTACTTGGGAGGTTGGGGCAGGAGGATTTGTGGGTGTTTAAGCAAGGCAGGCAGGCAGATTGGTGTGGTTTGTGTCTCTTCTAGGCTATGACCTTTATGAGCTAGAATGCTTTTTTCCCCCCTTGCTTTGGGGTGTGTGTGTGTGTGTGTGTGTGTGACAGACAAGAGACATATATTTTAATGACATAACTGCCATGGGGCTGTATATCTGAGTGGCTGTGTAGAACAAGCTCCCTGTCATCCAGTTCCCTAGGTTAAACATGAAATGTAAGTGCAAAATATTCTTCCGCACTTGTAATAAGTAATTGTAGTATATAGCCCAGGCTTGGCTCTAATTTTAGAACAAATGTGAGAAGTACGTGAGTGTGGTGTTGCTATTCACAACTCAGATTTTCTGTCATATTACATTTCTGTTATTATTTCATGAATAAGTCATACACTGGGTACAGACTCTGTTCCATAGTCAACTCTTGCATATTTTTTTTCAGAACTAGTTAAGTCTTCCATATTGTGCTAGTTTGTACTGAACATGGTCAGTCTGGTTCAGATTATATATTCTGACTAGAAGTCTTTCTGACTCGGGTAGCTCTTGTCAAATGGCAGCTTGTTAAGTTGCACTTCACATATATTAACAAGGAGCTTCTTGATTTGGTGTAGCTAACATCGATTTAATAGGAGTCTTTTTTTTTTTTTTTAATGTATTTGGTTGTTGCAGGATTCACTACGCAGCTTGGACTCATAGTGATCTTCCTGCTTTCAGCCTCCCCATAGCAGGGATTACAGGCATGGGCCACCATGCCCGAACTCTGGTTGGTTTTTCCCACCCTGGGGGTGGGGCTGGCGCTGTATGTGGTACCAGGTATTGAACCATGGTCCCTGCACTTGCTTAAGTAGGTGCTTTATTTGTGTGTGTGTGTGTGTGTGTGTGTATGTGTGTGTGTGTGTGTGTGTGTGTGTGTGTGTGTGTTAACTTGGGATTGAACTCGAGACCTTGTACTTGCCAGGCAGGCACTTATGCCACTGAGCTATCTCCCCAGGCCCTAAACAGGTGCTTTAGTCCGCTGAGCTATCTTGCTAGCCCCAATAGGATTCTTTCTGAGTTCAATGCTGGAAACTGAACTAAGGGCTTCCGGCATACTGAACATGTACTGCCCCACTGAGCTACTCCACTTCCACATAATTCTGTCTTTGTTGGAAGGACAGTTGAATTGGGTTCTGCTGATTAATAATGTGATGCTCAAATACAAATTGTTGTAATAATTGCTTCATTATTCATTTAACCACTAAAAAAATTTATTTACTTTCCATTTCCCAAGTCATTTTCTAATTTTATTATGTTCATTAGATAACATAGAAAGACCCCTGGGAGAAAACGTATGATTTTGGGCTAATTCCCCAGAAAATATGAAGGACTGCTTTTTTTTTTCAATAAGCAAAAGGAAATGAAATCATTTATTGGGGATGAGATAGTGGTACAAAAACAAAATATTAAGACAATGGTATGACAGATGACCCCTGAAAAAAATACTGTCGAGTAAGTTAACAGGCTGCACAGCC